AGTGGTGCCAGCGACAAAGCAATGGCAATTGTTTATGGTATTCATTACTTGTGTTGTTATCATATTTATGATGTTTATGAGATCATCATGTTATCATATCTCTTTGCATTAATGCTCCAAATTGATGCATTTGGTAGCCTTGAAGTTTTTTGGTAACCTTCGCTACCTCTATTACTTTATGGTCGATTATATTTTCATTACTACTTACGTTAGAAGTCGGAATTTGGACTCAGTAATACCCAGCTTCATAACAATGAATCTTTTGAACATTGCTTACGGCTGACAGTGTCGCAGTTTGAGGTATCTGAAGTAGGTGAATAGGCTGACTCAGAATTTGGTGTTTGATCGCAAATGCCATTCGATGAATGCTATCATGCACTAATTGAATAGAAATTATGTTTAATTGCAGGTCACTAACTCGTCGATGACATCAAAAGAATTACACTTCATTGTGATCGTGCAACCATTCTAAAAATGTTATTGAACGATTATGGAAGAATTATTTTTTTAAATCAACAAAAATTTAATTACCAATCTCATCTATTTCCTCATTGCACTACCAAATCCTCCAACAAGGATGGAATTTTACGATTCTTCAGAGAAATAACTGACTTTCTGAAGTTGTCTCAGTTCCTCGGCAGTGCCCTTTCGAAACAACAGTGTATCTCAATTGACCAATACATTCATTAGCGCGGCAGTATGAGGGTTACCAATTAGCACAATCATTCTTCTCAGGTTTGCACAGTAACATGTTGGTTTCTTCACACCACTGGACGGGAAAAATCGGGGACGGGGGGATTTCCGAAAATGTCCGCGACTGAAAAAACGTCGAGGACGGGGACCCCGAAATTCCCCGCACCACACTATTCTGCATATCTTCATAATCTATCTATTGTCTCATACATATTCCATATAGCTGCACACTCAACCTGAACAACACTCATCTTACTGTAAGATTTCACTTTACTTATCATCCTGCAAAAAAATTGAAGTGTATTTTGTTGTGCACATTCTTCCTTTGATGATGGCGTAATCTGCCGAAACCTTCGAGGAACGATTGAGTGTGAATGCGCGCAAAGTTGCTTTCAAAGAAATCGTTATTGCTGTCAGGATATCAGCTGTGAAACTGCAGTGAACTCTTAATTTGAACACATTTAAATACTGACATACGATTGATTTTTCACAATAACAGTTCAACGAAATTGAAAAGATGCAAAGCGTTTGCGGTGTAACTTTTTTGACTCATCAAAATTTCTGATCTCGTCTGTTCGGTGGTTTCTCAAGAACGATTAATCACTTGAAATGATTGTGAAGTATTTTTTCGTGAAATATTCATATGATAGTTGGTTTTTTTACGTTTCTTCACGTGTGAAAAGAGGATGGAAGAGGTGAATGATGCAGGTTATTCGCCGAATACGATGAATGATAACCGATAATCGAAACCTGTCTTTTTGCTGATCACTTCAATGAACAAAAAACTCCTACTTATTTCATTCTCTTTCGCAACACCAAACAAATTAGTGATTGGCACTATCCCTCAGTCTCGAACGTTCAGTGTTTCTTTCAATCAACAGCATGAACAGTGCTTTTTTGGTGTTGATTGTCGTTGTCAACGTTGCTTTCGTCGTTTTGATTACTTTTGATATCCATTTCACCTCTAGATATCACCTTTGATTCACACAAAACTACGCTGAATGTTGCATGTTGAAAAAGGTTACTTCTTTTATACGGTGTTTCGATGAACGCAATTCACTTGTCGCAGAAATTCTTTCGGATACATCTTTATTCATTAACCGCAAACAATCGCTTACTCTGTGCAATGTTCGCCCTCGTTTTCCGCACCAATTCCTCAGCGTTTCAATTCCACTAACATCTTGATAATTTTGTCGTCAGTGAAGCGACAACAAAACACACTGAACGAGAAACATCTGAGATCATCTTTGATTGAAATATCATTTTCATGTTTTCCATGTCAGATTATTGTGTATGTATTCTCAGTTTATCGCGATTATGTATTATATCTTAAATTGCGACCTGTCTCATACCTACTGATGAATATTCACTAGTAACGTGAATGAAAACGAGATTTTAAATTACATGGAAGTGGTAAAGTTTTGCAGAGTCTTTTTCGAAGTGATGCGCAGTAGTGTGGTTGTTCTGCTGGTGTTTTTGCTGCTAATCAGCACTTCAATTGAAGCTCGGACAAGAGTGGTGTATGATCATGACAGGTATGATTCAGTCGTATCCTTCAGGCAGACGAGAGAGCTTTTTCCCAGAAAAGTTAGATGGTGCATTCTCAGAGGTGCATCTTCAGTTCGCGAGGGTGGTGAAGGAGTATTTTAGATTGTGGAAGACAAATATGTGGACAGTGATGTCCTCAGTTCATTATATAGTCACGTTTGAGATAAGCATTCTCGTGAAATGAATGTTCTTCATTACTGATTCATTTATTCATTTGTTTGACTAACATGATCAAGTGAAACATCAACTGCACCTGAAATCTTGATGAAGGTCTATTTCCCAACAATTTGCTCCCTAAATTTCGGATCGAGGTCCTCTTTACTGCACAAACGAACACTACCTATAAAACAGAGGAATGCTGAAAGGAATGAAAGAGCAGCTAGCTGAAATTTATCTAATTAGATAAGAAATTGAACCAGCTTCAATTTCTTATCTAATTGGTCTTGAAAATACTATCGACTGTACGCTCAGTCGATGTGAATCGTTGCTCAAGATATGTTCTGAAGAGACATATAAACAAGGAATATATTTAGAATTCGTTCGAATGACCCCATGTATCGCGCCAAACGATTCGTCATTGACACAGTCAAACCGATCACTCGAACGGTAATTTTCCAGCTCGATCTTACCAAGCAATCGAACAATTCCTTCGTTCGTTCAAAATTGTCTCCCACGTCTGATTGGATCGAAAATTGCTCGCTAATTTTCATCATTTACAGCAACCGTTGGGTCGTTTCAGTCGTCTTATTCACCGTGTATAATCAGGCGGTGCATCAAGTTGAGTGCCGGCACGAAGAGAGTGCGATGCGGAAGTTTTGAAATTGAATATTCGAGAAGGAACGAAGTTGAGAGGAACATTTTTAGCTTTATTGAATGATTTGATTCGTTCGAATTTGATCATATTCCATTGTAATAGTTTACCTAATTTTTTATAATTGTCGGGTGAATTTAATTGTACACTGACTCATACATCTGTATATTCGGTAAGATGAGTCGCTGAGCGGAACCTGTTTGATGGTGTACGAGAAAAGTAGACTTTTATTCTTACAGAAATGAATTCAAAATTTGTTATTGCATGAGAAAATGCATGAGTCGAGATACGATTATATTCAATCACCGAGTCTGAATGATGTTTTCATTCATAAATCAACAAATAAAGACACCTTACGCCTTCTTGAGCAAAGTTTTTGTATCTATTCATTGTTCATTTTCAGCTCGAAGGCTACTGTTTTTGACGATGAAACTGTTGTTATCACATAAAAATTTGTACACTGATATGCCGTCGTATTCCACATTTTTGATATCTCTTTTCGTTCATTATCAAATGCTCGTTAACACATGCGTAACATTTTGAGCTTTCCATAGTATTTTTATCCATATATATATATATTTTTAAATATCATAAGTATCAGTAAAAATTAAGTAAGGAATGTGGGCTTGGGTGGTGTAGCATTTCGAACAATACACTTACAGTTATGTACAAACACATTACCAAAATCATGACACTGCGTGCACCAGTTAACATTGAATATATCTTTGCAGCTGTTCGTTATAAAATCCCAACTACACCCTAACGTGTCATCTGTTGGAGATGGTGTTGCCATTGTTGAATTTACTGTTCGTAGATTGTTTGTGAATGGAATGTTGTTGATGGATGACTGCTGTGCTGAGAATGAAGGAGAAGCGGGAATGTTGTTGTTAGCTGCAAATGAGGCTTTTTGAGAGGGATAAACGATGAGACCTATTTGTTGTGCTGCTGTCGTATTCACCAAAACCGGTAACGCTATCCATGGACTCATTTCTGATGGTACGGCTCCGTACGGTACAACGGCGGTTGAACGTAACGCAGATGATGGTCGACGAATGGTTGAGTTGGACGATGACTTTGGTGGTGTTGTCTCGAAAGAGGGTGATTTATTAAGATGTGTTGGCTTAGCAATAGAATGAGGTGTTTGAGGCAGTGAAGATGCAATCTGATTGGGCATACGAAACATAGATGAAGCTGAAGCTGCAAATTTTGATGATTCAGAGACTGATGGGATCTGGAATCGTGTTGAAACAAGATGTGGCAAGAGTGGTGCTTGAGTCGATGAAGGAAAGTCGTTAGGAGTGATTCTTGTCGGTAAAACCCGGGATGATAAAGCTCTGGGTGGAGGTTTTGAAGTGAGGGTGTTCGATGGTGGAATGGTGATAGCATCACTGTTATTATTTTGATCTTCATCGTTAATATTGTTGTTATTATCACCAGTATAATATTTATTGACAGTACTATTACTGATAATGTTGTCGTTGTCATTTGAAGTAGTATTTGATGGTGCAGTTGATATTTTTGTAACATTATGCGAGTGAGCGTTAGGGATGGGAGTTGTAGTTGAATATTTATGGACTTGCAATGTGGTGCGTTGAACCTGTTTACGAACAAACAGTTCATCTTGAATCGAATTCGAATTGAGATACGCATCGTTATCAATCAGTCGGGAATCTGTACGATGGTCGAGTGGCTCATCAAGAGAATCTGCAAAATTTCGTTGTTGTGCACTTTTTACAATCAGACAATTCGTTTATAGTGAACGCAACTGAAATGTTAATTCTGAATTGAGTTTTGAATGGACAGTTGTTTTTCGCTCTATCAAATTTCATACCTAAATCAGTTTCCGACGAAAATTTTCTCTGGGTTCATCTTTTAATACCTGATTTGCTTTTGGTGATTTCGATTCGATCTATCGACAAAAGAAGCGTTTGGAGCCTATTCCTTTAAATGCGAAGAAAGTCGACTGAAATAATGCGATGAATTTTCCGTAGAGGGAGCAAAGATTGTATTCGTCAAAGTATCAGTTAGCCATAAATGTGATCGAGTGTAAAATATTAATTTCGACAATTCAATAGTAACTGTTATGCACTTCTTAAAAGCCACATCAGAGCGAGAATTTTCACATTTGAAACAATCTTCGCCTCTTTTAAAAATGAACGAATATGAATTAGAAATGCTAACAAACCAAAAATGGCTTCAGGTAAAATAAAATTTTTGCTTTGCGTAACACCAGATGCTTTTACACGTATGATTCCATCCGAGTGCCCATCAACTCTCAGTGAAGCAAGAGATTGGTCGTGAGGTGTAGCGATCGCGTGTATCACAGCATCCGAGTCCATTTTTGGAGCAGACACTGCTCCTGATAATTATTCCAGCAATTATAAAATATGCTTCGTATTTATTTAACTGGATGGCTCTAGGTACTGGTGACACCTTTCTAAAAGATGTCGAGAAAGGTGATTGTGAATGTAATCAATCCGAGCCAATCGTTTTCTGATTATGAATGATTTATAAATGTGTATCTATCATATGTCTCGCAGAATGTAAGGCTTTGCTATGAAGGATTATGTAGAGATGCAGTATGGATATTTTGAGCGGTTATCAACTCTGAATGCGACAATGCTAATTCAAGGGAAGAAACCGAAAAATCAGCCAAGTTCCAAACGACTGTTGCTGGATCAATTGTTATCTTTGAACAGGCTTTCTTTCATGATGATTTCTCAAAGCTGAGCATACGAAAGGATAATCAAATGAAAAGACATTACTTTGGAGTTTAGCATGTCGATTAATGCGATTTTGATGATGTTGAGTGAGTAGTAATTGAGCAGATTTCGATAATGGTGGCATTAAAGTGACGAAACGTGTGTCTGAGGTGGTACCGAGCGCAGCCATATATCGATGTGCTCTTGCGTTCGGTAAATTATGAATTGGTCTGATCGTATTAATACCACAAACAAAAATTGGAAGCGATAAAAATATTATTAAAATATTCATACTGAAATATATATTCGAGTTACAACTGAGGTTAAGGGAAGCAAACTAGCAAAATTCATTTTATCGAGTACCTTCATCGTCAGATTGATATCATCAGATTGAAAGATGGAACATTTGGTGATTGTTAGAAAATATAATGCAACAGTCAATGAAAAGGTAAACAGATACAAGCCAATTCATGGTCTGGCCCAGGCTTGATAACATTGATGACATTGTTATATCACTGCTTTTCAAGCGAAACTTCCTTCCCCACTCCAACCCCCATGAAACCAGCTCATGGGGTGAAGTTTTGCTCAAAATCGAATGATGTACCGATGTGACAGAAAATCAGTCGCAACAAGATACTGCGATAAATTTGATTAAATTGCTTGAAAAGCATGTAATGAACACGTCGAAGTAGGGATAAGAATATGAGATCAAAGATATCTGCCTATCACACGAGAGGGGTTTAAAAAATGCCGATGGCAATGGATGCCATTCAATCGATTGATTGATTGATAGATTTAATTGTTGCACCGCCACTGCGCCGTCCCAAATTATCGACAGACTTACATACAATTGATCGTAGATACAATCTCAACGAATATCTTGATTCATTGTACATCCATCACTAAATTACGCATTCATCTCTCTCACAACGTTTCTTTGCAATATTCGTCACAAATCGATTATCATTCTAAACATGTATTCTGAAAGATTTTGTATTTGTATTAATGACAAAAATTCAAACGCTCTATCGCAGTACTCATCATAATATTCAAGAAGTGATATTAATATGGGTGACATACAATTGCTTGTTTGAAGAAGATGATGAGATCATTATATTAGATGATTCGTATGCATAGGAAACGTTGTGTTCCTAGCTATAGTGACATAGGCAATGAGCCGAAAGAATAGTAGAACGCGTCAGCATATTTATGACTGGCTGGAAAACGTCCATAGTTTACATACTTTCGTCAGGCAACATCACTGATACGTTTATTTATCCATATCCTTATCGCAAACTCGACCAAATTGAGTGGTGAAACAGAATGTGCATTTGAAAGCGGAATTTTCATAAGTTTTAACGAGCTAAAGATCAAATCCAGCAGCATTAGAAACTTAACTCTTTATATATGAGTATGACAGGCATATGACAGCCAATGATATGAGAACGATGCACAAGCAGCGTTAGATGAATTACATCCTTTTGAAGAAAAAACTGAGAAATTTTGATTATATGGATTTCACAAATCATGACAGAGATTGCCTAAAGACAAAGGGCACAGATAGATGTAGATGCGTTAATAAAATGTTATTGAAGATTAATTTATGGATGTATGCTTTCATTCAAATTGATTCTCATTCGGTTTGATTCATTCGACATATGTAAAAGGAAACCCTGATGGATAGATAGATAGGAAGTGAGCGATACCTATTACATGCCAGTGGCATGATGCCACTGCATATCTTCCACAAACTCATACGATTGCTGAAATCCATTCAGACCGCCGTTTAATGTGGCGTGATTCGCTTAATGTAACATTTCATTTGCAACTGGAGATAAAATTGATTCAAGTAGGCTGAAAATCACGGTGCCCTTTTTGGATCAAGATCAGTATTCGCTCAAGCATTTGTTCCTTCCGATAGTCAGATTCTTGTTAGTTATAAACATTATTGCATCCAGTCGATTTCTCAGAAATCACATTTTATAGTTAGCATTGGAACGAATTCATTCGGTTATTTACCCAGTTGCACAGTCAACTGCAAACGATACAATGATCATGCATTATATAGTGAATGATAAATGAGTATCAAGTGGAAAAGTATTAGGTAGTATTCGTCGAGGGACGAGGTCTCCGTCATAATCCTCGACGGAGATCCCGGTGGGGAGCCATCCCTCAACAATTTTGCTCCTAGCTTTTTGGTCGGGGTTCCTTCCCCTTCCTGGACGAATTCCTCCACGCGCCCATCCCCTCCTCGGGCAATTCGCTCTCCGATTTTTGTCGAGTCCTTTACCCGCCAATTTTGCTCCCCGATTGGGTCTCCCCCTGACAAAATGTTACTTCCCGACGAACCGACCGTAACATTAAAATATACTTTCTTTCTTTACTAACCGCAAAGTAGTTTCATCGCACGTAAAAGCTGAACAAATGTTAGACTCTAAGATATTTAGAATTGATTCTTCATGTCATCTTAATTTTTGACTTAACGTGTCTTTGATTTCCTATAGGCTTGAAAAACGACTGATGAAAAATGTAACTGGTTGAAAGCCTCATAATATTACAAATAAAAACTTTCTTACTAACAAATACAACTACAACTCAGTAAGATTCACAAATTCTATGAGGGATTATCAACTATTCTTTGAGGAAAGTCAAGTTTAACAGAAGCTAAAGGAAATGCAACCTCTGAAATGATGCGCGACGCCCACTTAATCGGGATGATCTTCAGGTAGTAACTTCGAAAGCAACACCTTTTGAGAGTCTAGGAGAAACCAGAGAACATTTTAAACGTGTAGAATTTTAGTATGATTACGTATTTCGGCTAATAGCAATCCCCATTTCGAAACGAATAATCAATTTAATTTATTGACGACATCGAATAGATATCAGACATTGATGTCAACAACCAATAACATCAGTTGAAGTGCTTTTTTGTGGTTCGATGGTACTTTGCTGTGTCAGCGTTACGTTAAATTAATGTATTGAAACAGGAAAGAAAACTTTTTTCATTCTTGTTTCGCTTCGTCATAGAGACAAATTTGGAGAAAACCATGCTTTTTATGATCGAATTTCAGTTAAAACTTGCATTCAATGGAATCTATCCACTTTATTCTAATTGCAGTTCTACTCTAATTGAATGCGCATACTAAGAAGTAATTGCCCGATGAAGAATCATCAGTGTTGATGTTCAGGGCACAGAAAGTCACAAGTAATAAGCAAGTCATAACCGTATTAGTACCCATCTAATAACAGCAGATATGTGCCAATTTCATGTGCGTTCAAAAAGTAGTTTCATCGTTCAGCCACGCAAAATTATCGCCATTATATGTAGCTGTTATAATTGACATTGTTGTTGCAAACGATGCAGACACATTTTTTCCATATGCATGTTTGTGGGTTAATATCAATGCATATGAATGAATTTCAATTATTTCACGAGCCGAATACCAAAAAAATGATGGTCTTTCATTTATTGTATCATTACTGACCGTTTCCACTTTAAGCACTCAAATGTGGCTCTTTGGTCTGTTTAACGATCCGTAAAACTTCTAAGAATGAAGTATTCATCCGCTTGATCCCTAAGTTATCATTATTGTATCTGCTTACTGCTTTTTATGAATTCTCTATATGTAGTCATCCAGCAAATGGCCCGTTCGGTATTCTTTTCGGTTCGTAAAAAAGAATGAGTGAAAGATTTATTGCTGATTGTGAGTAAAAAACATGTACAAGCAGTAATAGAACTTGAAATGTTCGATGATTTTTCTTTGTTTTGCAGTTGTCGATTGCTAGTCGGTTGGAGGAATGTGATTTACGAATGGATTCGATTGCAGTTGCTTAATGCAATCGTTGCTATGGATCGCTGATTACATTAACGAGTATTCTCATACTGAAGCGAAAGTAACACGTTCACTTATGCAATAAGTGAAGAGGGCTTAGTGAATATGAGAATATAAGTCGATTAGAGATCGTTCAAGTGACCTTTTTTTGAGGCGCACAAAAAGCTTGATAGTTGCTTTATTGGTAATGAACAAGAGCATTCATGGAAATTGAGTTGCATTGAAAGGCCACAGTGCTGCGATGCATTGTGAGAAGCAATTTCCGTCGCTTGAATGTACCTAACAAACAACCACTATGATGACTGCTCCATTTCATTATTTTCAGCACTGAAATCTTATTTGGTTCGATGCTCGTCACTTACTGATTGATCCTATTCATTATTGATTTCACCTTGTTTTTTATTGATAATCATTCGCAGACAGATCTGCTTCAAGTCAGTTTAGCAGCCTATCTTCTTGAATCAATCCACTCGATGAATATTCAAACAAAAACTGTCACATTTCGATACGTAATCAAATACGCATTGTTTTGGACTGCAATTAACCCCAAATGCTCGAGTCACGTCAAAATGTCAGAACTGCCCCAGAGCTTAGAGGTAATCGTAAGCATTTGAAGGAATTTGACAACGTTTCATCAAATATGGCTCTAATCTCGTACAAGAATCATCAACATGCAAGAAAAACTCTTCCTTGCTGGGGCCAAAAGTGTACATTGGGCATTGCCAGGTTAAATGAACTGATCACATGGGTAAGCTCGTCATCGCAAGCAATTGATGATTACTGAGTGGAATCGTGCGGTGCATCTCGCATAATCTCTCTTCCACATCTAATTCAAAGTGAACATGGGGAATGGACTGCCTGATCCGGCTTAAAGAAGTCGAATTAGCACAATCAATCCCTTGAGAAGCATGACGTTACTCAATCAGGCAATCAATCGATCATCAACAATTAACAAAGAAGCAAGAAAGCAGTATATAAAAGCTTAATCGTATGCATTATCCACTCCACTTGGTACTAGTTATTGCTGAGTGGTTTACTATTGTTATATATCACGTGAGTAAGAATTGTCGATGGTTGTTTGTTCATTCCAATTAATTTGTGTTCAACTGCTAATAACAATAATATTGATGATAATAATGAGGATACTGATAGTAATAATACTGACAATAATGGTAGATTAATATTGATAATTGATCAATTAATTTTCATGAACTGATAAAAAAGTGAAGTCGTTCGACGTTGTTGCTATGCTCATGAGAACTATTCTTATCTCGTGATGATGTTTATATCATTAATTTCACTGGTGCAAATGCTCTTCTGCAAATCAAGTTAGCTCAAGATCAGCAAGTGAATATTCCAAATCCTAAAGAAGTAAATTAGGTTGATGCAAAAGACCATCGCGAATACTAAAATCCTGGGCGAATTGAATGCCAGTTATTGTAAAAACATCTACATGAAA